GTCCTGGTCCTCACAGACAGAGGTAGTGAGGTCCTGGTCCTCACAGACAGAGTAGTGAGGTCTGGTCACAGACAGAGGTCCTGGTTCTCACAGACAGAGGTCCTGGTCCTCTCACAGACAGAGGTAGTGAGGTCCTGGTCCTCACAGACAGAGGTAGTGAGGTCCTGGTCCTCACAGACAGAGGTAGTGAGGTCCTGGTCCTCACAGACAGAGGTAGTGAGGTCCTGGTCCTCACAGACAGAGGTCCTGGTCCTCACAGACAGAGGTAGTGAGGTCCTGGTCCTCACAGACAGAGGTAGTGAGGTCCTGGTCCTCACAGACAGAGGTAGTGAGGTCCTGGTCCTCACAGACAGAGGTAGTGAGGTCCTGGTCCTCACAGACAGAGGTAGTGAGTCCTGGTCCTCACAGACAGAGGTAGTGAGGTCCTGGTCCTCACAGACAGAGGTAGTGAGGTCCTGGTCCTCACAGACAGAGGTAGTGAGGTCCTGGTCCTCACAGACAGAGGTCCTGGTCCTCACAGACAGAGGTAGTGAGGTCCTGGTCCTCACAGACAGAGGTAGTGAGGTCCTGGTCCTCACAGACAGAGGTAGTGAGGTCCTGGTTCTCACAGACAGAGGTAGTGAGGTCCTGGTCCTCACAGACAGAGGTAGTGAGGTCCTGGTCCTCACAGACAGAGGTCCTGGTCCTCACAGACAGAGGTAGTGAGGTCCTGGTCCTCACAGACAGAGGTAGTGAGGTCCTGGTCCTCACAGACAGAGGTAGTGAGGTCCTGGTTCTCACAGACAGAGGTCCTGGTCCTCACAGACAGAGGTAGTGAGGTCCTGGTCCTCACAGACAGAGGTAGTGAGATCCTGGTCCTCACAGACAGAGGTAGTGAGGTCCTGGTCCTCACAGACAGAGGTCCTGGTCCTCACAGACAGAGGTAGTGAGGTCCTGGTTCTCACAGACAGAGGTAGTGAGGTCCTGGTCCTCACAGACAGAGGTAGTGAGGTCCTGGTTCTCACAGACAGAGGTAGTGAGGTCCTGGTCCTCACAGACAGAGGTAGTGAGGTCCTGGTCCTCACAGACAGAGGTAGTGAGGTCCTGGTCCTCACAGACAGAGGTAGTGAGGTCCTGGTCCTCACAGACAGAGGTAGTGAGGTCCTGGTTCTCACAGACAGAGGTCCTGGTCCTCACAGACAGAGGTAGTGTGAGGTCCTGGTTCTTACAGACAGAGGTCCTGGTCCTCACAGACAGAGGTAGTGAGGTCCTGGTCCTCACAGACAGAGGTAGTGAGGTCCTGGTCCTCACAGACAGAGGTAGTGAGGTCCTGGTCCTCACAGACAGAGGTAGTGAGGTCCTGGTTCTCACAGACATGAGGTCCTGGTCCTCACAGACAGAGGTAGTGAGGTCCTGGTTCTCACAGACAGAGGTCCTGGTCCTCACAGACAGAGGTAGTGAGGTCCTGGTCCTCACAGACAGAGGTCCTGGTCCTCACAGACAGAGGTAGTGAGGTCCTGGTTCTCACAGACAGAGGTCCTGGTCCTCACAGACAGAGGTAGTGAGGTCCTGGTCCTCACAGACAGAGGTAGTGAGGTCCTGGTCCTCAAGACAGAGGTAGTGGGTCCTGGTCCTCACAGACAGAGGTAGTGAGGTCCTGGTCCTCACAGACAGAGGTCCTGGACAGAGGTAGTGAGGTCCTGGTCCTCACAGACAGAGGTAGTGAGGTCCTGGTCCTCACAGACAGAGGTAGTGAGGTCCTGGTCCTCACAGACAGAGGTAGTGAGGTCCTGGTCCTCACAGACAGAGGTAGTGAGGTCCTGGTCCTCACAGACAGAGGTAGAGGTCCTGGTCCTCACAGACAGAGGTAGTGAGGTCCTGGTCCTCACAGACAGAGGTAGTGAGGTCCTGGTCCTCACAGACAGAGAGGTCCTGGTCCTCACAGACAGAGGTAGTGAGGTCCTGGTCCTCACAGACAGAGGTCTGGTCCTCAACAGAGAGGTCCTGGTCCTCACAGACAGAGGTAGTGAGGTCCTGGTCCTCACAGACAGAGGTAGTGAGTCCTGGTCCTCACAGACAGAGGTCCTGGTCCTCACAGACAGAGGTAGTGAGTGGTCCTCATCCTCACAGACAGGAGTGAGGTCCTGGTCCTCACAGACAGAGGTCCTGGTCCTCACAGACAGAGGTAGTGAGGTCCTGGTCCTCACAGACAGAGGTCCTGGTCCTCACAGACAGAGGTAGTGAGGTCCTGGTCCTCACAGACAGAGGTAGTGAGGTCCTGGTCCTCACAGACAGAGGTAGTGAGGTCCTGGTCCTCACAGACAGAGGTCCTGGTCCTCACAGACAGAGGTAGTGAGGTCCTGGTCCTCACAAACAGAGGTAGTGAGGTCCTGGTCCTCACAGACAGAGGTAGTGAGGTCCTGGTCCTCACAGACAGAGGTAGTGAGGTCCTGGTCCTCACAGACAGAGGTAGTGAGGTCCTGGTCCTCACAGACAGAGGTCCTGGTCCTCACAGACAGAGGTCCTGGTCCTCACAGACAGAGGTAGTGAGGTCCTGGTCCTCACAGACAGAGGTAGTGAGGTCCTGGTCCTCACAGACAGAGGTAGTAAGATCCTGGTCCTCACAGACAGAGGTCCTGGTCCTCACAGACAGAGGTAGTGAGGTCCTGGTCCTCACAGACAGAGGTAGTGAGGTCCTGGTCCTCACAGACAGAGGTAGTGAGGTCCTGGTCCTCACAGACAGAGGTCCTGGTCCTCACAGACAGAGGTAGTGAGGTCCTGGTCCTCACAGACAGAGGTCCTGGTCCTCACAGACAGAGGTAGTGAGGTCCTGGTCCTCACAGACAGAGGTAGTGAGGTCCTGGTCCTCACAGACAGAGGTAGTGAGATCCTGGTCCTCACAGACAGAGGTCCTGGTCCTCACAGACAGAGGTAGTGAGGTCCTGGTCCTCACAGACAGAGGTAGTGAGGTCCTGGTCCTCACAGACAGAGGTAGTGAGGTCCTGGTCCTCACAGACAGAGGTCCTGGTCCTCACAGACAGAGGTAGTGAGGTCCTGGTCCTCACAGACAGAGGTCCTGGTCCTCACAGACAGAGGTAGTGAGGTCCTGGTCCTCACAGACAGAGGTAGTGAGGTCCTGGTCCTCACAGACAGAGGTAGTGAGGTCCTGGTCCTCACAGACAGAGGTAGTAAGATCCTGGTCCTCACAGACAGAGGTCCTGGTCCTCACAGACAGAGGTAGTGAGGTCCTGGTCCTCACAGACAGAGGTAGTGAGGTCCTGGTCCTCACAGACAGAGGTAGTGAGGTCCTGGTCCTCACAGACAGAGGTGCTGGTCCTCACAGACAGAGGTAGTGAGGTCCTGGTCCTCACAGACAGAGGTAGTGAGGTCCTGGTCCTCACAGACAGAGGTAGTGAGGTCCTGGTCCTCACAGACAGAGGTAGTGAGGTCCTGGTCCTCACAGACAGAGGTGCTGGTCCTCACAGACAGAGGTAGTGAGGTCCTGGTCCTCACAGACAGAGGTAGTGAGGTCCTGGTCCTCACAGACAGAGGTGCTGGTCCTCACAGACAGAGGTAGTGAGGTCCTGGTCCTCACAGACAGAGGTAGTGAGGTCCTGGTCCTCACAGACAGAGGTGCTGGTCCTCACAGACAGAGGTAGTGAGGTCCTGGTCCTCACAGACAGAGGTAGTGAGGTCCTGGTCCTCACAGACAGAGGTCCTGGTCCTCACAGACAGAGGTAGTGAGGTCGTGGTCCTCACAGACAGAGGTAGTGAGGTCCTGGTCCTCACAGACAGAGGTAGTGAGGTCCTGGTCCTCACAGACAGAGGTGCTGGTCCTCACAGACAGAGGTAGTGAGGTCCTGGTCCTCACAGACAGAGGTAGTGAGGTCCTGGTCCTCACAGACAGAGGTGCTGGTCCTCACAGACAGAGGTAGTGAGGTCCTGGTCCTCACAGACAGAGGTAGTGAGGTCCTGGTCCTCACAGACAGAGGTCCTGGTCCTCACAGACAGAGGTAGTGAGGTCGTGGTCCTCACAGACAGAGGTAGTGAGGTCCTGGTCCTCACAGACAGAGGTCCCAGAACAGTCTCCTCTGGTTGAGACTCGGACTTGGACCTGAGGGTGAATGACACCGCGGTGACTGCAGCAGCGGAGACCGTGAGCGCCCCCTGCTGTCTGCGGGCGGGAGCGGTACTCACCTCCATAAACACAACACACAATCCATGATAATCACCACATAATCAGCTAAAAACACATTCATGTTACTGTAAAATTTAAATATATCACTAGGATGATATTACTGACATTAGAATGTTCTTTAGCCCCGTTTCTATCAGCTCAACTTTACTCTACTTTGGTTACCAGACAATAATGTGTAATGGAAACACTGGACCAGAGTAGAGCATTAATTATGTATATATATATATATATATATATATATATATATATATATATCTATATATATATCTATATATATATATATATATCTATATATATATCCATCCATTTTCTTCCCTTTAATCCATTTCTGGGTCAGGGGGGTGGCAGTCAGAGAGACCACCCAAGTCTCATAGCACCAGCCCCTCACTGACCCTCTGCAGGTGGTGAGTCCACAGGAGGACGGCTGCTCTCTGACTGTGAGCATAGCCTTGATCTTTCAGTGGGGGCTTTGGGCAAAGTGGGGTTAAGTGTCTTGCCAAGGACACAACGACAGCAGTCATCAGTGGGAGTCGGTGGAGAAGGTGCAGAGGTGGGAATTGCTCTACCAACTGAGCTACTGTCGCCCCTATATATATATATATATTATTATTATATATATAATATATATATTATAATACACTGTTGTCGCTTTTGTCAAAACAAAAGCGACAACAGTGTATTATAATAAAATTATATCTGTTTTTATTATAATACACTGTTGTCGCTTTTGTTTTGACAGCGTCGTCACGGACCCGGAAGTGGCGTCGCTCTCCTGCCGCTAGCTTTAGCCTCCGGAGCTAACCCAGAGAGTCCTGCTGTGAAGATGTTACCGCTGTCCATTAAAGACGACGAGTACAAACCAGCCAAGTTCAGCCTCCTGCTCACGCTCTCAGGATGGTGCAGGTGAACACACACGTGGTTTGTCACTGGGAAAACATGGCTACATGTGATGCTAATGCTAATGCTACGTGCCAGCTGTTTGGATGGTGGATGCTAGCACAGCGGCTAAAGTTCCTCAAATCAGAGAAAATGAGTCTTTAAACGTCACAAGTGACACTGACATCTCCTCACACACGTGTCGGAAGTCTGTCAGCTGTGATTACCTCCAGAATAATCTAACAATGGATTTATTTAGAGCTGTTTAGAGCTGTTTAGAGCTGTTCTGTGCATCTCTCACAGGTCCATCCTGGCAGACAAGACCTCCAGGAATCTGTTCTTTTTCCTCTGTCTCAACCTTTCCTTCGCCTTCGTGGAGCTGGCGTACGGGCTGTGGAGCAACAGGTGAGGGGGGGAGGGAGAGGGGGAGGGAGAGAGGGGGGGAGGGAGAGGGAGGGGGAGGGAGAGCTGGCGTACGGGCTGTGGAGCAACAGGTGAGGGGGGGAGGGAGAGGGGGAGGGAGAGAGGGTGAGGGGGAGCTGGCGTACGGGCTGTGGAGCAACAGGTGAGGGGGGGGAGGGAGGGGGGGGAGGGAGGGGGAGAGGGGAGCTGGCGTACGGGCTGGGGAGGAGGGTGAGGGAGGGGGGAGGGAGAGGGGGAGGGAGAGAGGGTGAGGGGGAGCTGGCGTACGGGCTGTGGAGCAACAGGTGAGGGGGGGGAGGGGAGAGGGGAGGGAGAGGGGGAGGGAGAGGGAGGGAGAGGGAGGGGGAGGGAGAGCTGGCGGGGGGCTGTGGGAGCAACAGGGGAGGGGGGAGAGGGTGAGGGGGAGGGAGAGGGGGAGGGAGAGGGAGGGGGAGGGAGGGGGAGGGAGAGCTGGCGGACGGGCTGTGGAGCAACAGGTGAGGGGGGGAGGGAGAGGGGGAGGGAGAGGGAGAGGGAGAGGGGGAGGGGGGAGGGAGGGGAGGGGGAGGGAGAGCTGGCGTACGGGCTGTGGAGCAACAGGTGAGGGGGGGAGGGAGAGGGGGAGGGAGAGGGAGAGGGGGAGGGGGAGGGGAGGGAGGGGGAGGGAGAGCTGGCGTACGGGCTGTGGAGCAACAGGTGAGGGGGGGAGGGAGAGGGGAGGGGAGGGGGAGGGGAGGGGGAGGGGGGAGGAGAGGGAGAGCTGGCGTACGGGCTGTGGAGCAACAGGGAGGGGGGAGGGGGAGGGGGAGGGAGAGGGGGAGGGAGAGGGGGAGGGAGAGAGGGAGAGGGGAGTGGGAGAGGGGAGAGGGAGAGGGGGGAGGGGGGGAGAGGGGAGGGGGAGGGGGAGAGGGGAGAGGGTGAGGGGGGGAGGGGAGGGGGAGGGGGGGGGGGAGGGGGAGGGAGAGGGTGAGGGGGTGAGGGTGAGGGGGAGGGAGAGGGGGAGAGGGTGAGGGAGAGGGTGAGGGAGAATGAGAGGGTGAGGGAGAGGGGGAGGGTGAGGGAGAGGGGGTGAGTGGATGTGCCACGTATGTCCTCACGCGCTTCATTCACAAACAGCTGATGCAGGAGCTGACGGAGGAAGAATATGTTTAACCTTAACAATAATAAAACACAAACATATGTTCACTTAGACTCAGAAATGGCTTCTTCACAATCTGTGGAAATGTATGATCCACAAACTGCTCATGGAAAAGAGACCAGGGAGAGAGACCAGGGAGAGACCAGAGAGAGAGACCAGGGAGAGAGACCAGGGAGAGAGACCAGAGAGAGAGACCAGGGAGAGAGCAGAGAGACCAGAGAGAGAGACCAGAGAGAGAGACCAGAGAGAGAGACCAGAGAGAGAGACCAGAGAGAGAGACCAGAGAGAGAGACCAGAGAGAGAGACCAGAGAGAGAGACCAGAGAGAGAGACCAGGGAGAGAGACCAGAGAGAGAGACCAGAGAGAGAGACCAGGGAGAGAGACCAGAGAGAGAGACCAGGGAGAGAGACCAGAGAGAGAGACCAGAGAGAGAGACCAGAGAGAGACCAGAGAGAGAGACCAGAGAGAGACCAGAGAGAGACCAGAGAGAGAGACCAGAGAGAGACCAGAGAGAGAGACCAGAGAGAGACCAGAGAGAGACCAGAGAGAGACCAGAGAGAGAGACCAGAGAGAGAGACCAGAGAGAGAGACCAGAGAGAGACCAGAGAGAGACCAGAGAGAGAGACCAGGAGAGAGAGACCAGAGAGAGACCAGAGAGAGACCAGAGAGAGAGACCAGAGAGAGACCAGAGAGAGAGACCCAGAGAGAGACCAGAGAGAGACCAGAGAGAGAGACCAGAGAGAGACCAGAGAGAGAGACCAGAGAGAGACCAGAGAGAGAGACCAGAGAGAGAGACCAGAGAGAGAGACCAGAGAGAGAGACCAGAGAGAGACCAGAGAGAGAGACCAGAGAGAGAGACCAGAGAGAGAGACCAGAGAGAGACCAGAGAGAGACCAGAGAGAGACCAGAGAGAGACCAGAGAGAGAGACCAGAGAGAGAGACCAGGGAGAGAGACCAGAGAGAGAGACCAGAGAGAGAGACCAGAGGAGAGAGACCAGAGAGAGAGACCAGAGAGAGAGACCAGAGAGAGAGACCAGAGAGAGAGACCAGAGAGAGAGACCAGGGAGAGAGACCAGAGAGAGAGACCAGAGAGAGAGACCAGAGAGAGAGACCAGAGAGAGAGACCAGGGAGAGAGACCAGGGAGAGAGACCAGAGAGAGAGACCAGGGAGAGAGACCAGAGAGAGAGACCAGAGAGAGAGACCAGAGAGAGAGACCAGAGAGAGAGACCAGAGAGAGAGACCAGAGAGAGAGACCAGAGAGAGAGACCAGAGAGAGAGACCAGGAGAGAGACCAGGGAGAGAGACCAGGAGAGAGACCAGAGAGAGAGACCAGGGAGAGAGACCAGGGAGAGAGACCAGGGAGAGAGACCAGAGAGAGAGACCAGAGAGAGACCAGAGAGAGAGACCAGAGAGAGAGACCAGAGAGAGAGACCAGAGAGAGAGACCAGAGAGAGAGACCAGAGAGAGAGACCAGGGAGAGAGACCAGAGAGAGACCAGAGAGAGAGACCAGAGAGAGAGACCAGAGAGAGAGACCAGAGAGAGAGACCAGGGAGAGAGACCCAGGAGAGAGACCAGGGAGAGAGACCAGGGAGAGAGACCAGAGAGAGAGACCAGAGAGAGACCAGAGAGAGAGACCAGAGAGAGACCAGAGAGAGACCAGGGAGAGAGACCAGAAAGAGAGACCCTGTAAACATGGACTAGAGGCCTCTCGTGGTACTGCAGCCTAAACCCACATGGACAAAAAGAGGATGAATAGATACTTTATTGATCCCGTTGGAGAATTTCAGGTTTCCAGTATCAGCAAAAAATCATGGTCCCTCACATGGTTCCTCACATGGTTCCTCACATGGTTCCTCACATGGTTCCTCCTCTGTCTGCAGTTTAGGTCTGATCTCCGACTCCTTCCACATGTTCTTCGACTGCACGGCGCTGCTGGCAGGACTCGCTGCTTCAGTGATCTCACGATGGAGGTCCAACGACAGCTTCTCCTACGGGTAAGACCAGAGTGAGACCAGAGGGAGACCAGAGGGAGACCAGAGGGAGAGACCAGAGGGAGAGACCAGAGGGAGAGACCAGAGAGAGAGAGACCAGAGTGAGAGAGACCAGAGGGAGAGACCAGAGGGAGAGACCGGAGTGAGAGACCGGAGTGAGAGACCGGAGTGAGAGACCGGAGCGAGAGACCGGAGTGAGAGACCGGAGCGAGAGACCGGAGAGAGAGAGACCAGAGCGAGAGAGACCAGAGGAGAGACCAGAGGAGAGACCAGAGGGAGAGACCAGAGGGAGAGACCAGAGGGAGAGACCAGAGAGAGAGAGACCAGAGGGAGAGACCAGAGGGAGAGACCGGAGTGAGAGACCGGAGTGAGAGACGGAGGAGAGGACGGAGAGAGACCGGAGCGAGAGACCGGAGCGAGAGACCGGAGCGAGAGACCGGAGCGAGAGACCGGAGCGAGAGACCGGAGCGAGAGACCGGAGCGAGAGACCGGAGCGAGAGACCGGAGCGAGAGACCGGAGCGAGAGACCGGAGCGAGAGACCGGAGCGAGAGACCGGAGCGAGAGACCGGAGCGAGAGACCAGTTGTGGATGGTGGACGTTCAGACTCTCCTGGTCCTGGTCTGACTCACCTGGTCCTGTGTGTTTCCTGCAGGTATGTGAGAGCAGAGGTCCTCGCCGGCTTCGTCAACGGCCTCTTCCTCATCTTCACCGCGTTCTTCATCTTCTCTGAAGGAGTCGAGGTGTGTTCATGTGTGTGTTCATGTGTGTGTCTCTGAGTGTGTTCATGTGTGTGTCTCTGAGTGTGTTCATGTGTGTCTCTGAGTGGGTTCATGTGTGTCTCTGAGTGTGTTCATGTGTGTCTCTGAGTGTGTTCATGTGTGTCTCTGAGTGTGTTCATGTGTGTCTCTGAGTGTGTTCATGTGTGTCTCTGTGTGTGTTCATGTGTGTGTCTCTGAGTGTGTTCATGTGTGTGTCTCTGAGTGTGTTCATGTGTGTGTCTCTGTGTGTGTTCATGTGTGTCTCTGAGTGTGTTCATGTGTGTCTCTGTGTGTGTTCATGTGTGTGTCTCTGAGTGTGTTCATGTGTGTGTCTCTGAGTGTGTTCATGTGTGTGTCTCTGTGGTTGTGAATGTGTGTGTCTCTGAGTGTGTTCATGTGTGTCTCTGAGTGTGTTCATGTGTGTCTCTGAGTGTGTTCATGTGTGTCTCTGTGTGTGTTCATGTGTGTGTCTCTGAGTGTGTTCATGTGTGTGTCTCTGAGTGTGTGAATGTGTGTGTCTCTGTGTGTGTTCATGTGTGTGTTCATGTGTGTGTCTCTGAGTGTGTTCATGTGTGTGTCTCTGTGTGTGTGAATGTGTGTGTCTCTGTGTGTGTTCATGTGTGTGTCTCTGATTGTGTTCATGTGTGTGTCTCTGTGTGTGTTCATGTGTGTGTCTCTGTGTGTGTTCATGTGTGTGTCTCTGAGTGTGTTCATGTGTGTGTCTCTGTGTGTGTGAATGTGTGTCTGTGTGTGTGAATGTGTGTCTCTGTGTGTTCATGTGTGTGTCTCTGAGTGTGTTCATGTGTGTGTCTCTGTGTGTGTTCATGTATGTGTTCATGTGTGTGTCTGAGTGTGTTCATGTGTGTGTCTCTGTGTGTGTGAATGTGTGTCTCTGTGTGTTCATGTGTGTGTTCATGTGTGTGTGTCTGAGTGTGTTCATGTGTGTGTCTCTGTGTGTGTGAATGTGTGTCTCTGTGTGTGTTCATGTGTGTGTCTCTGAGTGTGTTCATGTGTGTGTCTCTGTGTGTGTCTCTGAGTGTGTTCATGTGTGTGTCTCTGTGGTTGTGAATGTGTGTGTCTCTGTGTGTGAATGTGTCTGTCGCTGAGTGTGTTCATGTGTGTGTCTCTGAGTGTGTTCATGTGTATGTCTCTGTGTGTGTGAATGTGTGTCTCTGTGTGTGTTCATGTGTGTGTCTCTGAGTGTGTTCATGTGTGTGTTCATGTGTGTGTCTCTGAGTGTGTTCATGTGTGTGTCTCTGAGTGTGTTCATGTGTGTGTCTCTGAGTTTGTTCATGTGTGTGTCTCTGAGTGTGTTCATGTGTATGTCTATGTGTGTGTTCATGTGTGTGTCTCTGAGTGTGTTCATGTGTGTGTCTGTGTGTGTTCATGTGTGTGTCTCTGTGTGTGTGTCTCTGAGTGTGTGAATGTGTGTGTCTCTGTGTGTGTTCATGTGTGTGTCTCTGAGTTTGTTCATGTGTGTGTCTCTGAGTTTGTTCATGTGTGTGTCTCTGAGTGTGTTCATGTGTGTGTCTCTGAGTGTGTTCATGTGTGTGTCTCTGAGTGTGTTCATGTGTGTGTCTCTGAGTTTGTTCATGTGTGTGTCTCTGAGTGTGTGAATGTGTGTCTCTGTGTGTTCATGTGTATGTCTATGTGTGTGTTCATGTGTGTGTCTCTGAGTGTGTGAATGTGTGTGTCTCTGAGTGCGTTCATGTGTGTGTGAATGTGTGTGTCTGAGTGTATTCATGTGTGTGTCTCTGAGTGTGTATCTGTGTGTGTATCTGTGTGTGTATCTGTGTGTGTGTATCTGTGTGTGTATCTGTGTGTGTATCTGTGTGTGTATCTGTGTGTGTCTATGTGTGTGTCTCTGTGTGTGTGAATTTGTGTGTCTCTGTGTGTGTGAATGTGTGTGTCTCTGTGTTTGTCTCTGTGTGTGTGAATGTGTGTGTCTCTGTGTGTGTCTCTGTGTGTGTGAATGTGTGTGTCTCTGTGTGTGTCTCTGTGTGTGTGAGTGAAGGCGCGTTCAGACCAAAAGCTTCAAAAAGCTTTTGACGCGCTTCAACTGACGCCGGGATAGTTTTGTCATTTTAGTGCTTGAAGCTTTTGACGCGAGTGACGCGCTTGACGCCGGTGGGAAGAGCTTCTCTGTTGTCTGTGGGAGGAGCTTCTCTGTTGCCGGTGGGAGGAGCTTCTCTGTTGTCTGTGGGAGGAGCTTCTCTGTTGCCTGTGGGAGGAGCTTCTCTGTTGTCTGTGGGAGGAGCTTCTCTGTTGTCTGTGGGAGGAGCTTCTCTGTTGTCTGTGGGAGGAGCTTCTCTGTTGTCTGTGGGAGGAGCTTCTCTGTTGCCTGTGGGAGGAGCTTCTCTGTTGTCTGTGGGAGGAGCTTCTCTGTTGTCTGTGGGAGGAGCTTCTCTGTTGCCGGTGGGAGGAGCTTCTCTGTTGTCTGTGGGAGGAGCTTCTCTGTTGCCGGTGGGAGGAGCTTCTCTGTTGCCGGTGGGAGGAGCTTCTCTGTTGCCTGTGGGAGGAGCTTCTCTGTTGCCTGTGGGAGGAGCTTCTCTGTTGTCTGTGGGAGGAGCTTCTCTGTTGTCTGTGGGAGGAGCTTCTCTGTTGTCTGTGGGAGGAGCTTCTCTGTTGTCTGTGGGAGGAGCTTCTCTGTTGCCTGTGGGAGGAGCTTCTCTGTTGTCTGTGGGAGGAGCTTCTCTGTTGCTCTGTTGTCTGTGGGAGGAGCTTCTCTGTTGCCTGTGGGAGGAGCTTCTCTGTTGTCTGTGGGAGGAGCTTCTCTGTTGTCTGTGGGAGGAGCTTCTCTGTTGTCTGTGGGAGGAGCTTCTGTTGTCTGTGGGAGGAGCTTCTGTTGTCTGTGGGAGGAGCTTCTCTGTTGTCTGTGGGAGGAGCTTCTCTGTTGTCTGTGGGAGGAGCTTCTCTGTTGTCTGTGGGAGGAGCTTCTCTGTTGCCTGTGGGAGGAGCTTCTCTGTTGTCTGTGGGAGGAGCTTCTCTGTTGCCTGTGGGAGGAGCTTCTCTGTTGCCTGTAGTCAGGACAGCGGTGGATTTTTCAATGAGCAGCGAGCCTTTATTTGTTATATAAAGCAAAATAACGTTGTTGTAGGGCTTCAACAAAACATGTTCTGGGTTCACCACAGACTGAGGCTGCAGTGTTTGCAGAGTTCCGTCATTTACTCCAGGAGCTGCGTACGGAGGAGTTTCGCTTTCAGCGGTACTTCCACATGTCACTCGCCCAGTCTGAGTTCTCAAACCCCGGAGCTCGCCTCTCTCGCCTCTCCCCGCCTCTCTCGCCTCTCCCTGCCTCTCCCTGCCTCTCTCGCCTCTCTCCCTGCCTCTCCCTGCCTCTCCCCGGCTCTCGCCTCTCCCTGCCTCTCTCGCCTCTCCCTGCCTCTCCCTGGCTCTCTCGCCTCTCCCTGCCTCTCCCTGCCTCTCCCTGGCTCTCTCGCCTCTCCCTGCCTCTCCCTGCCTCTCTCGCCTCTCCCTGCCTCTCTCGCCTCTCCCTGCCTCTCCCCGGCTCTCCCCGCCTCTCCCTGCCTCTCTCGCCTCTCCCTGCCTCTCCCTGCCTCTCCCTGCCTCTCCCTGCCTCTCCCTGCCTCTCTCGCCTCTCCCTGCCTCTCTCGCCTCTCCCTGCCTCTCTCGCCTCTCCCTGCCTCTCTCGCCTCTCCCTGCCTCTCTCGCCTCTCCCTGCCTCTCCCCGGCTCTCCCCGCCTCTCCCTGCCTCTCTCGCCTCTCCCTGCCTCTCTCGCCTCTCCCTGCCTCTCCCCGGCTCTCCCTGCCTCTCTCGCCTCTCCCCGCCTCTCCCTGCCTCTCCCTGCCTCTCCCTGCCTCTCTCGCCTCTCCCTGCCTCTCCCTGCCTCTCTCGCCTCTCTCGCCTCTCCCTGCCTCTCCCTGCCTCTCTCGCCTCTCTCGCCTCTCCCTGCCTCTCCCTGCCTCTCCCGCCTCTCTCTCGCCTCTCTCGCCTCTCCCTGCCTCTCCCTGCCTCCTGCCTCTCGCCTCTCCCTGCCTCTCTCGCCTCTCCCCGCCTCTCCCTGCCTCTCCCTGCCTCTCTCGCCTCTCTCGCCTCTCTCGCCTCTCCCTGCCTCTCCCTGCCTCTCCCTGCCTCTCTCGCCTCTCTCGCCTCTCTCAGCCTCTCCCTGCCTCTCTCGCCTCTCTCGCCTCTCTCGCCTCTCCCTGCCTCTCCCTGCCTCTCCCTGCCTCTCCCTCTCGCCTCTCTCGCCTCTCTCGCCTCTCTCGCTCTCCCTGCCTCTCTCGCCTCTCTCGCCTCTCCCTGCCTCTCCCTGCCTCTCTCGCCTCTCCCTGCCTCTCCCCTGCCTCTCTCGCCTCTCCCCGCCTCTCCCTGCCTCTCTCGCCTCTCTCAGCCTCTCCCCGGCTCTCCCTGCCTCTCTCGCCTCTCTCGCCTCTCCCCGCCTCTCCCTGCCTCTCCCTGCCTCTCTCGCCTCTCTCGCCTCTCCCTGCCTCTCCCTGCCTCTCTCGCCTCTCTCAGCCTCTCCCTGCCTCTCTCGCCTCTCTCAGCCTCTCCCTGCCTCTCCCTGCCTCTCCCTGCCTCTCTCGCCTCTCTCGCCTCTCCCTGCCTCTCTCGCCTCTCTCGCCTCTCCCTGCCTCTCCCTGCCTCTCTCGCCTCTCCCCGCCTCTCCCTGCCTCTCTCGCCTCTCTCAGCCTCTCCCTGCCTCTCCCTGCCTCTCTCGCCTCTCCCCCCCTCTCCCTGCCTCTCTCGCCTCTCTCAGCCTCTCCCTGCCTCTCTCCCCGGCTCTCCCTGCCTCTCTCGCCTCTCTCGCCTCTCCCCGCCTCTCCCTGCTCTCCTCCTCCCTGCCTCTCTCGCCTCTCTCGCCTCTCCCCGCCTCTCCCTGCCTCTCTCGCCTCTCTCAGCCTCTCCCTGCCTCTCCCTGCCTCTCCCCGGCTCTCCCTGCCTCTCTCGCCTCTCTCGCCTCTCCCCGCCTCTCCCTGCCTCTCTCGCCTCTCTCAGCCTCTCCCTGCCTCTCCCCGGCTCTCCCTGCCTCTCTCGCCTCTCTCGCCTCTCCCCGCCTCTCCCTGCCTCTCCCTGCCTCTCTCGCCTCTCTCGCCTCTCCCCGCCTCTCCCTGCCTCTCTCGCCTCTCTCAGCCTCTCCCTGCCTCTCCCTGCCTCTCCCCGGCTCTCCCTGCCTCTCTCGCCTCTCTCGCCTCTCCCCGCCTCTTCCTGCCTCTCCCTGCCTCTCTCGCCTCTCTCGCCTCTCCCTGCCTCTCCCTGCCTCTCTCGCCTCTCTCGCCTCTCCCTGCCTCTCCCTGCCTCTCTCGCCTCTCTCATTCTCTCCCTGCCTCTCCCTGCCTCTCTCGCCTCTCCCTGCCTCTCCCTGCCTCTCTCGCCTCTCCCTGCCTCTCCCCGGCTCTCCCTGCCTCTCTCGCCTCTCTCGCCTCTCCCCGCCTCTCCCTGCTCTCTCTCGCCTCTCTCGCCTCTCTCGCCTCTCCCTGCCTCTCCCTGCCTCTCCCTGCCTCTCCCCGGCTCTCCCTGCCTCTCTCGCCTCTCTCTGCCTCTCCCTGCCTCTCCCTGCCTCTCCCTGCCTCTCTCGCCTCTCCCTGCCTCTCTCGCCTCTCCCTGCCTCTCCCTGCCTCTCCCTGCCTCTCCCCGGCTCTCCCTGCCTCTCTCGCCTCTCTCTGCCTCTCCCTGCCTCTCCCTGCCTCTCCCTGCCTCTCTCGCCTCTCCCTGCCTCTCTCGCCTCTCTCTGCCTCTCCCTGCCTCTCCCTGCCTCTCCCTGCCCTCTCTCGCCTCTCCCTGCCTCTCCCCGGCTCTCCCTGCCTCTCTCGCCTCTCCCTGCCTCTCCCCGCCTCTCCCTGCCTCTCTCGCCTCTCTCGCCTCTCCCTGCCTCTCCCTGCCTCTCCCTGCCTCTCCCTGCCTCTCTCGCCTCTCTCGCCTCTCTCGCCTCTCCCTGCCTCTCCCCAGCTCTCGCTCGCCTCTCCCCGGCTCTCCCTGCCTCTCCCTGCCTCTCTCGCCTCTCTCGCCTCTCTCGCCTCTCCCTGCCTCTCCCCAGCTCTCGCTCGCCTCTCCCCGGCTCTCCCTGCCTCTCCCTGCCTCTCTCGCCTCTCTCGCGCCTCTCTCAGCCTCTCCCTGCCTCTCTCGCCTCTCTCGCCTCTCCCTGCCTCTCCCTGCCTCTCTCGCCTCTCTCGCCTCTCCCTGCCTCTCCCCGGCTCTCGCTCGCCTCTCCCCGGCTCTCCCTGCCTCTCCCCGGCTCTCGCTCGCCTCTCCCTGCCTCTCCCCAGCTCTCGCCCGCCCGGAGCTGCCTTGCTCTGAGCCAGACTCATCGTCAGCCTGTTCTTATATTAAATAAACTACGTTTACTACACAGCATGTGTACAATGATTTTTGTTACTCAGAACGTTACTACTCATACAAATAATATTACTAATAACAATAATGACAATAAAACAGCAGCAGCAGATACATGACTTCTCTCCATGACAGAGACAGACCCTCTGCTGCTGCTGCTGCTCGTCTCCTGATTGGTTGAAGCCCGCGTCAAAGCTTCAAAAGCTCAGCTTTGTTCAGCTTTGGCGTCAGGATTGTTTTGATACGCGAGCGTTTCGCGCGTCAAGTGACGCCGGGCCCCTCGGCTTCACCTGACGCGCTTCACCATTCACTTTCAATGCAAACCTGACGCTTTTGACGCCGAAGTTAAGTCCGTTGTGAACGCCCCTTTAGTGTGTTCATGTGTGTGTTCATGTGTGTGTCTCAGAGTGTGTTGCGTGTCTCAGGCTGCGGTCACATGCGCAGCCTAAAGCCCGGTTAAAGTGTGCCAGGGCCCACTTTGCGGTTTGATCCAGGCTTTAGGCGCCATCTGACCGCAGCATTTGCGCCAAAGCACGATTCCTGGACTCATGCTCTGGCGCGGTTAAAAACTGCGGCCAGATCCCGCTTCCCAGCGGCGATGAGGGGGGTCAGTGTGGCGGGTGGTGGGGAGCGGGGGATTAGGTGCGGGAAGGACTTGATATTGTGCGTCACATTACGTCTTCCTGTGACACGCATTTTCACACGTCTCTCCTGCACTTTTGTATTCTCCGCTGTGTTAAACCTTTTTTATAAGCCCCGGACCTGGCCTGGTTCATTTGTAAAAACCTCTGTGACCGTGCCCTGAGAGTGTGTTGTTGTGTGTCTCAGAGAGCACTGGAGCCTCCTGACGTGCACCATGACCGACTGCTGCCTGTGTCCATCGCTGGTCTCATGGTGAATCTGGTCGGAATCTTTGTGTTTCAACATGGGGGCCACGGACACTCACACGGGGACGGAGGTGAGAGAGACCAGAGAGAGAGAGAGAGAGACTAGAGAGAGAGAGACCAGAGAGAGAGAGACCAGAGAGAGAGAGAGATAGACCAGAGAGAGAGAGATAGACCAGAGAGAGAGAGATAGACCAGAGAGAGAGAGATAGACCAGAGAGAGAGAGATAGACCAGAGAGAGAGAGATAGACCAGAGAGAGAGAGATAGACCAGAGAGAGAGATAGACCAGAGAGAGAGAGAGATAGACCAGAGAGAGAGAGATAGACCAGAGAGAGAGAGAGACCAGAGAGAGAGAGAGAGACCAGAGAGAGAGAGAGAGACCAGAGAGAGAGAGAGAGACCAGAGAGAGAGAGAGAGAGACCAGAGAGAGAGAGAGAGAGAGACCAGAGAGAGAGAGAGAGAGAGAGACCAGAGAGAGAGAGAGAGAGAGACCAGAGAGAGAGAGACCAGAGAGAGAGAGAGAGACCAGAGAGAGAGAGATAGACCAGAGAGAGAGAGATAGACCAGAGAGAGAGAGATAGACCAGAGAGAGAGAGATAGACCAGAGAGAGAGAGATAGACCAGAGAGAGAGAGAGAGACCAGAGAGAGAGACCAGAGAGAGAGAGATAGACCAGAGAGAGAGAGAGAGACCAGAGAGAGAGACCAGAGAGAGACCAGAGAGAGAGAGAGAGACCAGAGAGAGATAGACCAGAGAGAGAGAGATAGACCAGAGAGAGAGATAGACCAGAGAGAGAGAGAGAGAGAGACCAGAGAGAGAGAGAGAGAGACCAGAGAGAGAGAGACCGAGAGAGAGAGCAGTCTAAATCCTAGTGTATACTTGCGCGGCTTACGTTAGCGGTTGCGGTGGACCAAGCACATTTGTGTTTATATTCCTTGCAGAGTTTTGAGGATAATGTTGTAATCCCACAACCAACCACACGATGGCGATCTCACAGGAGTTTAGAAACCAAAGCGGTCTCATTTACGCTTCTTCTTTCTCCTCTTCAGAACAAAAACATGTGTTTCTACTGTAGGTTTATGTGACCGTTCTAAACTCATCGTTTCAACTCATTTAACTGTGATGCTGTGAATAAACACACAGTTCTGTTGGAAACATAATTATTATTATATATTATATATATTATTACTATATTACAGTTATTATTAAAGTGTTTTCAGCACAAACAGCAAAACAATAAAAGTGGTAAATGTTATATATGTTAGATATTTAATATATATATATATATATATATATATATATATATATATATATATATATATATATAACAAACATATGTTAGATAGAGTTGCACCAATCAGGAATTTGTTGGCTGTAGGACTGCACTGTAGGACTGCACTGTAGGACTACCCTGTAATGTAGGACTACACTGTAATGTAGGACTACACTGTAGGACGGCACTGTAGGACTACACTGTAGGACTACACTGCACTGTAGGACTGCACTGTAGGACTACACTGCACTGTAGGACTACACTGCACTGTAGGACTACACTGCACTGTAGGACTGCACTGTAGGACTACACTGCACTGTAGGACTACACTGCACTGTAGGACTACACTGCACTGTAGGACTGCACTCTAGGACTGCACTGTAGGACTACACTGCACTGTAGGACTACACTGCACTGTAGGACTACACTGCACTGTAGGACTACACTGCACTGTAGGACTGCACTGTAGGACTACACTGCACTGTAGGACTACTGTACTGTAGGACTGCACTGTAGGACTGCACTGTAGGACTGCACTGTAGGACTACACTGCACTGTAGGACTGCACTGTAGAACTACACTACACTCATCTTAATTGAATATTTCTGTGAACATAACATACAAACTCTTGACACAGGATGTTTCTGTGTAACGACAGCGTCTCGCTGCTGAGTGTGTTCTGTCTGTGCTGTGTCTGCACGGTGTGACTCTGGCTCGTTATTATCATAGATCCATGCTCTGGAGTGTCAATGTGAGAATATACAGTTTGGTAAATCTGTGACAGGCAGACATCAGTCAGATATCTCTGTGACAGGCAGATATCAGTCAGATATCTCTGTGACAGGCAGACATCAGTCAGATATCTCTGTGACAGGCAGACATCAGTCAGATATCTGACAGACAGACATCAGTCAGATATCTCTGTGACAGGCAGACATCAGTCAGATATCTCTGTGACAGGCAGACATCAGTCAGATATCTCTGTGACAGGCAGATATCAGTCAGATATCTCTGTGACAGGCAGACATCAGTCAGATATCTCTGTGACAGGCAGACATCAGTCAGATATCTCTGTGACAGGCAGACATCAGTCAGATATCTCTGACAGGCAGACATCAGTCAGATATCTCTGACAGGCAGACATCAGTCAGATATCTCTGACAGGCAGACATCAGTCAGATATCTCTGACAGGCAGACATCAGTCAGATATCTCTGACAGGCAGACATCAGTCAGATATCTCTGACAGGCAGACATCAGTCAGATATCTCTGACAGGCAGACATCAGTCAGATATCTCTGACAGGCAGACATCAGTCAGATATCTCTCTGACAGACAGACATCAGTCAGATATCTCTGTGACAGACAGACATCAGTCAGATATCTCTGTGACAGGCAGACATCAGTCAGATATCTCTGACAGGCAGACATCAGTCAGATATCTGTGACAGGCAGACATCAGTCAGATATCTCTGACAGGCAGACATCAGTCAGATATCTCTGACAGGCAGACATCAGTCAGATATCTCTGACAGGCAGACATCAGTCAGATATCTCTGTGACAGACAGACATCAGTCAGATATCTGACAGGCAGACATCAGTCAGATATCTCTGTGACAGGCAGACATCAGTCAGATATCTCTGTGACAGACAGACATCAGTCAGATATCTCTGTGACATGCAGACATCAGTCAGATATCTCTGTGACAGACAGACATCAGTCAGATATCTCTGTGACAGACAGACATCAGTCAGATATCTCTGTGACAGACAGACATCAGTCAGATATCTCTGTGACAGGCAGACATCAGTCAGATATCTCTGTGACAGGCAGACATCAGTCAGATATCTCTGACAGGCAGACATCAGTCAGATATCTCTGTGACAGGCAGACATCAGTCAGATATCTCTGTGACAGGCAGACATCAGTCAGATATCTCTGTGACAGACAGACATCAGTCAGATATCTCTGTGACAGGCAGACATCAGTCAGATATCTCTGACAGGCAGACATCAGTCAGATATCTCTGACAGGCAGACATCAGTCAGATATCTCTGTGACAGGCAGACATCAGTCAGATATCTCTGACAGGCAGACATCAGTCAGATATCTCTGTGACAGACAGACATCAGTCAGATATCTCTGACAGGCAGACATCAGTCAGATATCTCTGACAGGCAGACATCAGTCAGATATCTCTGACAGGCAGACATCAGTCAGATATCTCTGACAGACAGACATCAGTCAGATATCTCTGTGACAGACAGACATCAGTCAGATATCTGACAGGCAGACATCAGTCAGATATCTCTGTGACAGATTGAAGCAGTGAACATGAGCTGTTTGAACCCAGAGCTTTCCACGATAGACGAGCGCTGGTGACAGAGGGAAATAAATCCATAACTTTGGTGCATATTTGGTGTTGTTTCTTACGTCATTACTGCGGTTGTATAATCTCTGTCACCGAGGGCTGCATGAGTTGCTTGTTTACGCAGTTTTGACGAGAGAAAGTAACTTGTGAGCATGAACCCTCATGTCATATGATCGGTCTTTTTGATCGGCACATTTCACCGATTATAATCGGCTATCAATCGATCGGTGCACCTCTAATGTTAGATATGTGTTAGATATGTGTTAGATATATGTTAGATATAAGTTAGATATAAGTTAGATATAAGTTAGATATATGTTAGATATATGTTAGATATAAGTTAGATATATGTTAGATATATGTTAGATATATGTTAGATATAAGTTAGATATAAGTTAGATATATGTTAGATATATGTTAGATATAAGTTAGATATAAGTTAGATATAAGTTAGATATGAGTTAGATATGAGTTAGATATGAGTTAGATATGAGTTAGATATGAGTTAGATATGAGTTAGATATGAGTTAGATATGAGTTAGATATGAGTTAGATATGAGTTAGATATGAGTTAGATATGAGTTAGATATGAGTTAGATATGAGTTAGATATGAGTTAGAGTTAGATATAAGTTAGATAGTCCACAGTCTCCTGTATATCTTTTCTTTGGGTTCCTTCGAAGCTTGAAGCTCTCTGCTCCATAGAGCCTCGTCCATGCTCCTGCTGCAGCCGCTCTGTGCTTCCTTCCAAAACACACACGGACCAATCACAGCAGAGCTTTCTTGCGGCGACCCTTACGTAGTTAGAAAATGTCGATGCTGCGCGGCAGGCAACGTAAGGGCCTTGGGGTGACCAACGCGTTGCGCAAGTGACGTCACGTCACCTCCGTAAGCTCCGCGCCGCGCGACTATAAACTAGGCTTAAGTTCTTTCTTCTCCTCAGGTCACGGTCACAGTCACTCTCTCTTCAACGGAAGCGTCAGCCCTTCCCCCACAGAGAAGCCATCCCACGGGGGACACGGACACTCCCATGATGGACACGGGGGACACGGACACTCCCATGATGGACACGGACACTCCCATGACCACCATGAGAAGCCTGGACACTCACACGATGACCACCAGTGCCACGGTAACAGACCTGAGACCAGGACTAATGTGAGAGGACTTCAGGACAGAGACCTGAGACCAGGACTAATGTGAGAGGACTTCAGGACAAAGACCTGAGACCAGGACTAATGTGAGAGGACTTCAGGACAGAGACCTGAGACCAGGACTAATGTGAGAGGACTTCAGGACAAAGACCTGAGACCAGGACTAATGTGAGAGGACTTCAGGACAGAGACCTGAGACCAGGACTAATGTGAGAGGACTTCAGGACAGAGACCTGAGACCAGGACTAATGTGAGAGGACTTCAGGACAGAGACCTGAGACCAGGACTAATGTGAGAGGACTTCAGGACGGACACCTGAGGCTTTAAAACCATAGATATGTCCCTCATGGTGTTGCAGGTCAATAACCCTGTAATACACCTGTGCACCTCTAGGGGCCCCGTACCCCTGGTTGGGAAACACTGGAGGCTCCAGGTTTGATTGTTCTGTTTTACTCTGTTCCAGAACCTCTGACACCAGCGAAAGGCCCCAGCAAACAGATTCTACAAGGTGAGTGTAGACCAGAGAGAGAGACCAGAGAGAGAGAGAGAGAGAGAGAGACCAGAGAGAGAGAGAGACCAGAGAGAGAGACCAGAGAGAGAGAGAGACCAGAGAGAGAGAGAGACCTTGCATCTAATTACAGCCTGTGGTCCCACTGAGCTCCAGCTTCAGATCTGTCTCTGATTTTGATGGTCCTGTTGATGGTCCTGTTCCTGGTTCTGCTCCTGGTTCTGTTGATGGTTCTGCTCTTGGTCCTGTTGATGGTTCTGCTCCTGGTCCTGATATTGTTTTTTTTTTCATTGTTTTTTTCTATTTTTATTATTAAGTGACACATAGACACACAAAAGTGACACATAGACACACAAAAGTGACACATAGACACACAAAAGTGAAAATGATTGGTACAACAGCAAAAAGAATGTTGAAGCAGCAACAAAACATGGGAACATACAAAGAAAAACAAATATCGAGAGAACATGAAACATGTGTGTGTCTGTGTGTGTGTGTGTGTGTGTGTGTGTGTGTGTGTGTGTGTGTCTGTGTGTGTGTGTGTGTGTGTGTGTGTGTGTGTCTGTGTGTGTGTCTGTGTGTGTGTGTGTGTGTGTGTGTGTGTGTGTGTGTGTGTGTGTGTGTGTCTGTGTGTGTGTCTGTGTGTGTGTCTGTGTGTGTGTGTGTGTCTGTGTGTGTGTCTGTGTGTGTGTCTGTGTGTGTGTGTGTGTCTGTGTGTGTGTCTGTCTGTTGCAGTAAAAAGGACATGATTTAATACCGATACCAGAACTATGGGTTTCTGCCGATACTGGAAATGCTCATGCTAAAATGTATTTAATAATGTAACTGTTTGTTCAAGTAACTGCAAAAGCAGTGGATGAACTAAAGCTAAACTTTCCAGATAAAAATGGATTGAACATAAATGTGCAATAATGAACTATAAAGAGCTGCTCAATGTTCACATTAAACATTCAACTCTGTATTAGACCTTTTACATTTACTGAATATAAATGTACTTATATTAACTGTGTTTGAATAAAAAAACACAACAAACAATAAATAAATAACAGTACCGTAGCTTTAAGTGGATTTCAGATATGTATTTGGCGACGGCATGGACCTGGGACCTGGGATTTTAGGACATTGTGCGGTACCTGGTATGGATTAAAAAATATATAATTTTAAAAAAAGAAGAAAAGAAAATGGATCGGCAGCACGGCGCCTCTCTCTACACAGATATCCAGTATTTGTTCTGGTATCGGCGCCTCTCTCTACACAGATATCCAGTATTTGTTCTGGTATCGGCGCCTCTCTCTACACAGATATCCAGTATTTGTTCTGGTATCGGCGCCTGGTGTTGTGTGTATAATATATATGTTTATTTATTTTCCCTTTATTAAGTTTCTATTCCTTAGAGTGCGGTGCATTAAAAACAAAGTGTGGCGGGGGCTGTGGTGAAATAAGCTGATAACTGGTGTTGGCGGGAATCACAGTGAAGATGGGTTTAAACAAATGGATAGAAAATAAGGGAGAGAGGGAGAAGAGAGACTAAAAATATAAAAATAATTTAGAAAATAAAAGGAATAAATGATAAAATAAAAAGGGAGTGCTCCTGGTCCTGTTGATGGTTCTGGTTCCATTGATGGTTCTTTTGATGGTCCTCATCCTGGTCCTGTTGATGGTTCTGCTCCTGGTCCTGTTGATGGTTCTGCTCCTGTTCCTGTTGATGGTTCTGCTCCTGTTCCTGTTGATGGTTCTGCTCCTGGTCCTGTTGATGGTTCTGCTCCTGTTCCTGTTGATGGTTCTGCTCCTCCTGTTGATGGTTCTGTTCCTGGTCCTGTTGATGGTTCTGCTCCTGGTCCTGTTGATGGTCCTGTTGATGGTCCTGTTGATGGTCCTGTTGATGGTTCTGTTCCTGTTGATGGTCCTGTTGATGGTTCTGTTCCTGGTCCTGTTGATGGTTCTGTTCCTGGTCCTGTTGATGGTTCTGTTCCTGGTCCTGTTGATGGTCCTGTTCCTGGTCCTGTTGATGGTCCTGTTGATGGTTCTGTTCCTGGTCCTGTTGATGGTTCTGTTGATGGTTCTGTTCCTGGTCCTGTTGATGGTCCTGTTCCTGGTCCTGTTGATGGTCCTGTTGATGGTTCTGTTCCTGGTCCTGGTCCTGTTGATGGTCATGTTGATGGTTCTGTTCCTGGTCCTGGTCCTGTTGATGGTCCTGTTGATGGTTCTGTTCCTGGTCCTGTTGATGGTCTTGTTGCTGGTTCTGCTCCTGGTCCTGTTGATGGTTCTGTTCCTGTTGATGGTCTTGTTGCTGGTTCTGCTCCTGGTCCTGTTGATGGTTCTGTTCCTGGTCCTGTTGCTGGTCCTGTTGATGGTTCTGTTCCTGGTCCTGTTGATTGTCCTGTTCCTGGTCCTGTTGATGGTTCTGTTGATGGTTCTGTTCCTGGTCCTGTTGATGGTCCTGTTGATGGTTCTGTTGATGGTCCTGTTGATGGTCCTGTTGATGGTCCTGTTCCTGGTCCTGTTGATGGTCCTGTTGATGGTCCTGTTGATGGTCCTGTTGATGGTTCTGTTCCTGGTCCTGTTGATGGTTCTGTTCCTGGTCCTGTTGATGGTCCTGTTCCTGGTCCTGTTGATGGTCCTGTTGATGGTTCTGTTCCTGGTCCTGTTGATGGTTCTGTTCCTGGTCCTGTTGATGGTTCTGTTGATGGTTCTTTTCCTGGTCCTGTTGATGGTCCTGTTCCTGGTCCTGTTGATGGTCCTGTTGATGGTTCTGTTCCTGGTCCTGGTCCTGTTGATGGTCCTGTTGATGGTTCTGTTGATGGTTCTGTTCCTGTTGATGGTCTTGTTGCTGGTTCTGCTCCTGGTCCTGTTGATGGTTCTGTTCCTGGTCCTGTTGATGGTCCTGTTCCTGTTGATGGTTCTGTTCCTGGTCCTGTTGATGGTTCTGCTCCTGGTCCTGTTGATGGTCCTGTTGATGGTCCTGTTGATGGTCTTGTTGATGGTTCTGTTGATGGTTCTGTTGATGGTCCTCTTGATGGTCCTGTTCCTGGTCCTGTTGATGGTCCTGTTGATGGTTCTGTTCCTGGTCCTGTTGATTGTCCTGTTGATGGTCCTGCTCCTGGTCCTGTTGATGGTTCTGTTCCTGGTCCTGTTGATGGTTCTGTTCCTGGTCCTGTTGATGGTTTTGCTCCTGTTCCTGTTGATGGTTCTGCTCCTGGTCCTGTTGATGGTCCTGTTCCTGGTCCTGTTGATGGTCCTGTTGATGGTTCTGTTCCTGGTCCTGTTGATGGTTCTGTTCCTGGTCCTGTTGATGGTCCTGTTGATGGTTCTGTTCCTGGTCCTGTTGATGGTCATGTTGATGGTTCTGTTCCTGGTCCTGTTGATGGTTCTGTTCCTGGTCCTGTTGATGGTCCTGTTCCTGGTCCTGTTGATGGTCCTGTTGATGGTTCTGTTCCTGGTCCTGTTGATGGTCTTGTTGATGGTTCTGTTCCTGGTCCTGTTGATGGTTCTGTTCCTGGTCCTGTTGATGGTCCTGTTCCTGGTCCTGTTGATGGTCCTGTTGATGGTTCTGTTCCTGGTCCTGTTGATGGTTCTGTTCCTGGTCCTGTTGATGGTCCTGTTGATGGTTCTGTTCCTGGTCCTGTTGATGGTCATGTTGATGGTTCTGTTCCTGGTCCTGTTGATGGTTCTGTTCCTGGTCCTGTTGATGGTCTTGTTGCTGGTTCTGCTCCTGGTCCTGTTGATGGTTCTGTTCCTGTTGATGGTCTTGTTGCTGGTTCTGCTCCTGGTCCTGTTGATGGTTCTGTTCCTGGTCCTGTTGATGGTCCTGTTGATGGTCTTGTTGATGGTTCTGTTGATGGTCCTGTTGATGGTCTTGTTCCTGGTCCTGTTGATGGTCCTGTTCCTGGTCCTGTTGATGGTCCTGGTCCTGTTGATGGTCCTGTTGATGGTTCTGTTGATGGTTCTGTTGATGGTTCTGTTCCTTGTCCTCTTCCTGTTGATGGTCCTGTTCCTGTTGATGGTTCTGTTCCTGGTCCTGTTGATAGTTTTGCTCCTGGTCCTGTTGATAGTTCTGCTCCTGGTCCTGTTGATGGTTCTGTTCCTGGTCCTGTTGATGGTCCTGTTGATGGTTCTGCTCCTGGTCCTGTTGATGGTCCTGTTGATGGTCCTGTTGATAGTCCTGTTGATGGTTCTGTTCCTGGTCCTGTTGATGGTTCTGTTCCTGGTCCTGTTGATGGTTCTGTTGATGGTTCTGTTCCTGGTCCTGTTGATGGTCCTGTTGATGGTTCTGTTCCTGGTCCTGGTCCTGTTGATGGTCATGTTGATGGTTCTGTTCCTGGTCCTGGTCCTGTTGATGGTTCTGTTGATGGTTCTGTTCCTGTTGATGGTTCTGTTCCTGTTGATGGTCTTGTTGCTGGTTCTGCTCCTGGTCCTGTTGATGGTTCTGTTCCTGGTCCTGTTGATGGTCCTGTTCCTGTTGATGGTTCTGTTCCTGGTCCTGTTGATGGTCCTGTTGATGGTTCTCTTCCTGGTCCTGTTGATGGTTCTGCTCCTGGTCCTGTTGATGGTCCTGGTCCTGTTGATGGTCCTGTTGATGGTCTTGTTGATGGTTCTGTTGATGGTTCTGTTGATGGTCCTCTTGATGGTCCTGTTCCTGGTCCTGTTGATGGTCCTGTTGATGGTTCTGTTCCTGGTCCTGTTGATTGTCCTGTTGATGGTCTTGTTGATGGTTCTGCTCCTGGTCCTGTTGATGGTTCTGTTCCTGGTCCTGTTGATGGTTCTGTTCCTGGTCCTGTTGATGGTTCTGCTCCTGTTCCTGTTGATGGTTCTGCTCCTGGTCCTGTTGATGGTTCTGTTCCTGGTCCTGTTGATGGTTCTGTTCCTGGTCCTGTTGATGGTCTTGTTGATGGTTCTGTTCCTGGTCCTGTTGATGGTTCTGCTCCTGTTCCTGTTGATGGTTCTGCTCCTGGTCCTGTTGATGGTTCTGTTCCTGGTCCTGTTGATGGTTCTGTTCCTGGTCCTGTTGATGGTCTTGTTGATGGTTCTGTTCCTGGTCCTGTTGATGGTTCTGTTCCTGGTCCTGTTGATGGTCCTGTTGATGGTTCTGTTGATGGTTCTGTTGATGGTTCTGTTCCTTGTCCTCTTCCTGTTGATGGTCCTGTTGATGGTCCTGTTCCTGTTGATGGTTCTGTTCCTGGTCCTGTTGATAGTTTTGCTCCTGGTCCTGTTGATAGTTCTGCTCCTGGTCCTGTTGATGGTTCTGTTCCTGGTCCTGTTGATGGTCCTGTTGATGGTTCTGCTCCTGGTCCTGTTGATGGTCCTGTTGATAGTCCTGTTGATGGTTCTGTTCCTGGTCCTGTTGATGGTTCTGTTCCTGGTCCTGTTGATGGTTCTGTTGATGGTTCTGTTCCTGGTCCTGTTGATGGTCCTGTTGATGGTTCTGTTCCTGGTCCTGGTCCTGTTGATGGTCATGTTGATGGTTCTGTTCCTGGTCCTGGTCCTGTTGATGGTTCTGTTGATGGTTCTGTTCCTGTTGATGGTTCTGTTCCTGTTGATGGTCTTGTTGCTGGTTCTGCTCCTGGTCCTGTTGATGGTTCTGTTCCTGGTCCTGTTGATGGTCCTGTTCCTGTTGATGGTTCTGTTCCTGGTCCTGTTGATGGTCCTGTTGATGGTTCTCTTCCTGGTCCTGTTGATGGTTCTGCTCCTGGTCCTGTTGATGGTTCTGTTGATGGTCCTGGTCCTGTTGATGGTCCTGTTGATGGTCCTGTTGATGGTCCTGTTGATGGTCTTGTTGATGGTTCTGTTGATGGTTCTGTTGATGGTCCTCTTGATGGTCCTGTTCCTGGTCCTGTTGATGGTCCTGTTGATGGTTCTGTTCCTGGTCCTGTTGATTGTCCTGTTGATGGTCTTGTTGATGGTTCTGCTCCTGGTCCTGTTGATGGTTCTGTTCCTGGTCCTGTTGATGGTTCTGTTCCTGGTCCTGTTGATGGTTCTGCTCCTGTTCCTGTTGATGGTTCTGCTCCTGGTCCTGTTGATGGTTCTGTTCCTGGTCCTGTTGATGGTTCTGTTCCTGGTCCTGTTGATGGTCTTGTTGCTGGTTCTGCTCCTGGTCCTGTTGATGGTTCTGTTCCTGTTGATGGTCTTGTTGCTGGTTCTGCTCCTGGTCCTGTTGATGGTTCTGTTCCTGGTCCTGTTGATGGTCCTGTTCCTGTTGATGGTTCTGTTCCTGGTCCTGTTGATGGTCCTGTTGATGGTTCTGCTCCTGGTCCTGTTGATGGTCCTGTTGATGGTCCTGTTGATGGTCTTGTTCCTGGTCCTGTTGATGGTCCTGTTCCTGGTCCTGTTGATGGTCCTGGTCCTGTTGATGGTCCTGTTGATGGTCCTGTTGATGGTTCTGTTGATGGTTCTGTTGATGGTTCTGTTCCTTGTCCTGTTCCTGTTGATGGTCCTGTTCCTGTTGATGGTTCTGTTCCTGGTCCTCAGGCGTCCTGCTCCACGTGGTGGCAGACACTCTGGGCAGTATCGGCGTCATCATCTCAGCGATCCTGATGCAGACGTACGACCTGATGATCGCCGACCCCGTCTGCTCCATGCTCATCGCTCTGCTCATCGGGGTCAGGTAAAGCTACTGTGTTAGCATTAGCATCTGTATACAGTCTGTGTTAGCATTAGCATCTGTATACAGTCTGTGTTAGCATTAGCATCTGTATACAGTCTGTGTTAGCATTAGCATCTGTATACAGTCTGTGTTAGCATTAGCATCTGTATACAGTCTGTGTTAGCATTAGCATCTGTATACAGTCTGTGTTAGCATTAGCATCTGTATACAGTCTGTGTTAGCATTAGCATCTGTATACAGTCTGTGTTAGCATTAGCATCTGTATACAGTCTGTGTTAGCATTAGCATCTGTATACAGTCTGTGTTAGCATTAGCATCTGTATACAGTCTGTGTTAGCATTAGCATCTGTATACAGTCTGTGTTAGCATTAGCATCTGTATACAGTCTGTGTTAGCATTAGCATCTGTATACAGTCTGTGTTAGCATTAGCATCTGTATACAGTCTGTGTTAGCATTAGCATCTGTATACAGTCCGTGTTAGCATTAGCATCTGTATACAGTCTGTGTTAGCATTAGCATCTGTATACAGTCTGTGTTAGCATTAGCATCTGTATACAGTCTGTGTTAGCATTAGCATCTGTATACAGTCTGTGTTAGCATTAGCATCTGTATACAGTCTGTGTTAGCATTAGCATCTGTATACAGTCTGTGTTAGCATTAGCATCTGTATACAGTCCGTGTTAGCATTAGCATCTGTATACAGCCCGTGTTAGCATTAGCATCTGTATACAGTCTGTGTTAGCATTAGCATCTGTATACAGTCTGTGTTAGCATTAGCATCTGTATACAGTCTGTGTTAGCATTAGCATCTGTATACAGTCTGTGTTAGCATTAGCATCTGTATACAGTCCGTGTTAGCATTAGCATCTGTATACAGTCTGTGTTAGCATTAGCATCTGTATACAGTCTGTGTTAGCATTAGCATCTGTATACAGTCTGTGTTAGCATTAGCATCTGTATACAGTCTGTGTTAGCATTAGCATCTGTATACAGTCTGTGTTAGCATTAGCATCTGTATACAGTCTGTGTTAGCATTAGCATCTGTATACAGTCTGTGTTAGCATTAAGCATCTGTATACAGTCTGTGTTAGCATTAGCATCTGTATACAGTCTGTGTTAGCATTAGCATCTGTATACAGTCTGTGTTAGCATTAGCATCTGTATACAGTCTGTGTTAGCATTAGCATCTGTATACAGTCTGTGTTAGCATTAGCATCTGTATACAGTCTGTGTTAGCATTAGCATCTGTGTACAGTCTGTGTTAGCATTAGCATCTGTATACAGTCTGTGTTAGCATTAGCATCTGTATACAGTCTGTGTTAGCATTAGCATCTGTATACAGTCTGTGTTAGCATTAGCATCTGTATACAGTCTGTGTTAGCATTAGCATCTGTATACAGTCTGTGTTAGCATTAGCATCTGTATACAGTCTGTGTTAGCATTAGCATCTGTATACAGTCTGTGTTAGCATTAGCATCTGTATACAGCCCGTGTTAGCATTAGCATCTGTATACAGTCTGTGTTAGCATTAGCATCTGTATACAGTCTGTGTTAGCATTAGCATCTGTATACAGTCTGTGTTAGCATTAGCATCTGTATACAGTCTGTGTTAGCATTAGCATCTGTATACAGTCTGTGTTAGCATTAGCATCTGTGTACAGTCTGTGTTAGCATTAGCATCTGTATACAGTCTGTGTTAGCATTAGCATCTGTATACAGTCTGTGTTAGCATTAGCATCTGTCTACAGTCTGTGTTAGCATTAGCATCTGTATACAGTCTGTGTTAGCATTAGCATCTGTATACAGTCTGTGTTAGCATTAGCATCTGTATACAGTCTGTGTTAGCATTAGCATCTGTATACAGTCTGTGTTAGCATTAGCATCTGTATACAGTCTGTGTTAGCATTAGCATCTGTATACAGTCTGTGTTAGCATTAGCATCTGTATACAGTCTGTGTTAGCATTAGCATCTGTATACAGTCTGTGTTAGCATTAGCATCTGTATACAGTCTGTGTTAGCATTAGCATCTGTATACAGTCTGTGTTAGCATTAGCATCTGTATACAGTCTGTGTTAGCATTAGCATCTGTATACAGTCTGTGTTAGCATTAGCATCTGTATACAGTCTGTGTTAGCATTAGCATCTGTATACAGTCTGTGTTAGCATTAGCATCTGTATACAGTCTGTGTTAGCATTAGCATCTGTATACAGTCTGTGTTAGCATTAGCATCTGTATACAGTCGTGTTAGCATTAGCATCTGTATACAGTCTGTGTTAGCATTAGCATCTGTATACAGTCTGTGTTAGCATTAGCATCTGTATACAGTCTGTGTTAGCATTAGCATCTGTATACAGTCTGTGTTAGCATTAGCATCTGTATACAGTCTGTGTTAGCATTAGCATCTGTATACAGTCTGTGTTAGCATTAGCATCTGTATACAGTCTGTGTTAGCATTAGCATCTGTATACAGTCTGTGTTAGCATTAGCATCTGTATACAGTCTGTGTTAGCATTAGCATCTGTATACAGTCTGTGTTAGCATTAGCATCTGTATACAGTCTGTGTTAGCATTAGCATCTGTATACAGTCTGTGTTAGCATTAGCATCTGTATACAGTCTGTGTTAGCATTAGCATCTGTATACAGTCTGTGTTAGCATTAGCATCTGTATACAGTCTGTGTTAGCATTAGCATCTGTATACAGTCTGTGTTAGCATTAGCATCTGTATACAGTCTGTGTTAGCATTAGCATCTGTATACAGTCTGTGTTAGCATTAGCATCTGTATACACAGTCTGTGTTAGCATTAGCATCTGTATACAGTCTGTGTTAGCATTAGCATCTGTATACAGTCTGTGTTAGCATTAGCATCTGTATACAGTCTGTGTTAGCATTAGCATCTGTATACAGTCTGTGTTAGCATTAGCATCTGTATACAGTCTGTGTTAGCATTAGCATCTGTATACAGTCTGTGTTAGCATTAGCATCTGTATACAGTCTGTGTTAGCATTAGCATCTGTATACAGTCTGTGTTAGCATTAGCATCTGTATACAGTCTGTGTTAGCATTAGCATCTGTATACAGTCTGTGTTAGCATTAGCATCTGTATACAGTCTGTGTTAGCATTAGCATCTGTATACAGTCTGTGTTAGCATTAGCATCTGTATACAGTCTGTGTTAGCATTAGCATCTGTATACAGTCTGTGTTAGCATTAGCATCTGTATACAGTCTGTGTTAGCATTAGCATCTGTATACAGTCTGTGTTAGCATTAGCATCTGTATACAGTCTGTGTTAGCATTAGCATCTGTATACAGTCTGTGTTAGCATTAGCATCTGTATACAGTCTGTGTTAGCATTAGCATCTGTATACAGTCTGTGTTAGCATTAGCATCTGTATACAGTCTGTGTTAGCATTAGCATCTGTATACAGTCTGTGTTAGCATTAGCATCTGTATACAGTCTGTGTTAGCATTAGCATCTGTATACAGTCTGTGTTAGCATTAGCATCTGTATACAGTCTGTGTTAGCATTAGCATCTGTATACAGTCTGTGTTAGCATTAGCATCTGTATACAGTCTGTGTTAGCATTAGCATCTGTATACAGTCTGTGTTAGCATTAGCATCTGTATACAGTCTGTGTTAGCATTAGCATCTGTATACAGTCTGTGTTAGCATTAGCATCTGTATACAGTCTGTGTTAGCATTAGCATCTGTATACAGTCTGTGTTAGCATTAGCATCTGTATACAGTCTGTGTTAGCATTAGCATCTGTATACAGTCTGTGTTAGCATTAGCATCTGTATACAGTCTGTGTTAGCATTAGCATCTGTATACAGTCTGTGTTAGCATTAGCATCTGTATACAGTCTGTGTTAGCATTAGCATCTGTATACAGTCTGTGTTAGCATTAGCATCTGTATACAGTCTGTGTTAGCATTAGCATCTGTATACAGTCTGTGTTAGCATTAGCATCTGTATACAGTCTGTGTTAGCATTAGCATCTGTATACAGTCTGTGTTAGCATTAGCATCTGTATACAGTCTGTGTTAGCATTAGCATCTGTATACAGTCTGTGTTAGCATTAGCATCTGTATACAGTCTGTGTTAGCATTAGCATCTGTATACAGTCTGTGTTAGCATTAGCATCTGTATACAGTCTGTGTTAGCATTAGCATCTGTATACAGTCTGTGTTAGCATTAGCATCTGTATACAGTCTGTGTTAGCATTAGCATCTGTATACAGTCTGTGTTAGCATTAGCATCTGTATACAGTCTGTGTTAGCATTAGCATCTGTATACAGTCTGTGTTAGCATTAGCATCTGTATACAGTCTGTGTTAGCATTAGCATCTGTATACAGTCTGTGTTAGCATTAGCATCTGTATACAGTCTGTGTTAGCATTAGCATCTGTATACAGTCTGTGTTAGCATTAGCATCTGTATACAGTCTGTGTTAGCATTAGCATCTGTATACAGTCTGTGTTAGCATTAGCATCTGTATACAGTCTGTGTTAGCATTAGCATCTGTATACAGTCTGTGTTAGCATTAGCATCTGTATACAGTCTGTGTTAGCATTAGCATCTGTATACAGTCTGTGTTAGCATTAGCATCTGTATACAGTCTGTGTTAGCATTAGCATCTGTATACAGTCTGTGTTAGCATTAGCATCTGTATACAGTCTGTGTTAGCATTAGCATCTGTATACAGTCTGTGTTAGCATTAGCATCTGTATACAGTCTGTGTTAGCATTAGCATCTGTATACAGTCTGTGTTAGCATTAGCATCTGTATACAGTCTGTGTTAGCATTAGCATCTGTATACAGTCTGTGTTAGCATTAGCATCTGTATACAGTCTGTGTTAGCATTAGCATCTGTATACAGTCTGTGTTAGCATTAGCATCTGTATACAGTCTGTGTTAGCATTAGCATCTGTATACAGTCTGTGTTAGCATTAGCATCTGTATACAGTCTGTGTTAGCATTAGCATCTGTATACAGTCTGTG